GGAAACGCGCCCCCTTCCTGGCTGAGAGACACCCGGGGACTCCCGCCAAAAACCTGCAGGAGGGTGGTATTCTGGTCAGATGTTGTCCCTGTTGTCCCAGATGGCACCACCTCAGTGCCCCAGTTCCAACCTTCTTAGCGGTCCGGGCTGGGAATGGGGCAGAGGTGTGCGGCTGGAAGTGGCCAGGCTCTGAAAGTCACCCGGAAACGCCCCCTTCCTGGCTGAGAGACACCCGGGGACTCCCGCCAAAAACCTGCAGGAGGGTGGTATTCTGGTCAGATGTTGTCCCTGTTGTCCCAGATGGCACCACCTCAGTGCCCCAGTTCCAACCTTCTTAGCGGTCCGGGCTGGGAATGGGGCAGAGGTGTGCGGCTGGAAGTGGCCAGGCTCTGAAAGTCACCCGGAAACAGGTTCTGTCCCAGGGATAAAGGAAATAAATGCGATAGATAAATGCGCAATGGATTTGTCGCTTCCCTCCTTTCCCCCGAGGAATGGAGGAGGGGGCAGAGAAGACCCTGTCCTGTGGGTACCGCTCAGCCCCTGCTGCGCAGCTGGGGCAGATTTAGTCATGTACTTCACATGGGTCTGTAGGGTCGCGGGTGGCATGGGAGCTTTTTTTCAGGAGGAACCAAGATCATTCAACTGAGCGATTTGCGTTAGTTTTATACACCCAGTGGTTGTGAGGCATGCTGCTGTCCTGAGCTGTGAACCCTTTCGCCAGTGTTGCAGCATGGGCAGCCGAGAGGGAGTGAGCCACACCTCCTGCTCTTGCACCTTCTTTACTCTGCTCTTCGACGTGGTAAGACTTGCCACGGAAGGAATACCACCTCTGTCTCGTCTACCCAGCTTGCGCAGTCCATTTGTCATTAGGAATTCGATGGGCAGTTGAATCCAGCCTCTAGTTACCATCAGCACTCTTGGGAGGGATGCTGGAAATAAGAAGGCATCTTCTGCCTTAGAAGTTTACAGTCTGGGTCCCTGAGCCATCAGTAACCCATCAGTTACTGCGTGAAGTGAACATGAAAGCCTTCACCTATTCCTTCGCCTCACTTCATATCCATGGTTTTAAACTCAAGGGTTTGTTGCTTTTAGCTTTGGAAAACCACGTTGAAGGGACAGGTTTTGAATTGAGTCTTCTGTATCCATAGCGATTACTCCCAGAAGCTGTTGAAATGGGAGAATGCTGTATCTTTATCCTTTTAAAGTATTGAAGTATTATAAAGCGGGGAATTTAGAACTCATCATAACTGTGTTAAATTCACGAGCCGAATAGTTTGGATTACATGGGAGTTCTTTGATTTGGAATTTTGGTATTTTCCATACTATGCATTTATCGTAGTTCTTGTGAGAGGTGTGTACTCTTCTGAGTGAGACTGGAATTTATGAAAAAAAAAATACTTAAAAGTAAACTGTTTTGAAAAAACCATATTTTTACAAAAAAAGATACTGAGCAAAAATATTTTTTATCTCTTCTCTGGAAAATCGAAAGGATTAAATCAATAACAGCTGCTAAGTACAAGACTTTGCAATCTCAATGACCCTATTTCAAAATTAAATTAATGATAACATGCAATAATATACCGCAGTCCTTATCTTGATTGAATGTCATCAAGTATATCATTATGAGTACGTTGGAGGGGGAGGACAAAAGGTCAGATTGCAAACAGATAAATATTATACCAACTGCAAGTCCAGGATTTTTACTGTGCTATTGATAATGCTGGGAGCTAAGCAATAGCTCTCAGGTGCTAAATCTCCCATGCTGCTACTCATCTTAATGAAGAGCCTGTAATAAAATTATATTATCCCTTGCAATAGTGAGTGAAATATTTGCTGTTTTAAAACAGGACTTTGGAATGAATGAAAGTTAAAAAACCCCGACAATCTTAGATGTTGTGTTTATTTAATCAAAATTAAGAGTTTGATTGTGGTTTGAGTTGATGATAACTTTTTATCAACTCTACATCCCATTTAATTCCACCCGCAGAGCAATCTTATAAGGGAGAATACAGTAATGCAATCAAAAGCTGGCTATAATCACCCAGCAGTATGGGAAAAACAAAGGCTAGCAAAGGCTTGGTTTGTAAATCAAGTATACTTCACAGTTGTAACTTGCAATTTGAAACAATTTTAAACTGGATGAAACAGATCTTCAGCATTGCTACCAGATCTTCAGTTAGACAGCTGCGTGAAAAAGATTGAGAGAATTTCTCATGTTAATAAAATGCCAGCAGTTTACTCAACAACACTTGCAGTAGAAAGTGTGAAAGTGTCTGTGAACGTTTTCCAGACAGACCCGTAAGAGAGAACGTAAGAAGAGAGAGAACGTAAGAATTCGCACTAGGAGCAGCATTTTATTAGCTATTAAAAGTGATAATTACGAAAGATGTCCGCTATGACTATTTAAGTTAAGTGAATATGTAAGTAGGTGAAAAAGCACACAAATGAAATTTTACATCTCTTAAATGGAGGGTATCTGAAGAAAAGCAGGTGTTATCTAGATTGTGAGACAAATGCAGTCCTATGTGTAAGATGCTAATTAGTCCATTGCACTTGATGAATTTGCATATCAATCAATACACTCAGTGGAAAATGGAAAATATTGGAATTTGTCACACAGTCAGGAAACTGGGTATGAAATGAGGGCATGAGAGACGTTCAGTTCCAGCGTGCAGAACCTGGAAGACCTTTTCGGTGTTCAGGGTCCTGGTAAACAATCTGGCTTCGACTGTACCCCCAGAACTGCGGAATGTGAAGTAGAGGAAAGCCTGAGACAATCATTCTGCAGTACGTAATGTTGTGGCAGTGTGTAGATACTTTGCAAAATTGCTACTAGTTGGATGTGAAGGTGGTCCTATGCGGGGTCAACTGCTTCACTGAACAGACTAAGTAGGCATGTCATTGTTAATTTGAGGCCGCAAACAGCAGGTAAAGGTGTGAACATAAGGAGCAGAAGGATAGAGTAGGAAATACTATATTTCGGTTGTCAGTGAGCTTTTTATGTCCTTCTCTGCACTTAATCTTTGGAACACAAGGCAGTGGCAGCTTGTACACCTGACAATACAGGTCTGCAGTTCTGCTCATAAGCAGGAAGGCTTATGCTCCGTTTCCCAAATCGATAAAGTTGGTAATTCCCACGTGTAAGACACCAAAACAACGTCAGGATTGGAAATTCCAAACTTACGTGAGCTCTGCCTCTCATGTATATATGTGTAATGAGATAGGAGCATAGACTTAAAAAAGCTGTAATCAAGTAATAACATGCTTTCTTTTCTGATATATAGACATCATCTCAGTCTCTCATTTTGTAATATTTGTTGTCTTCTATTAAATCCAATTTATTGTCATGTTCCAATGGATTTTTAACAGGTGAACAACCTATCCTCTGCACACTCTTGCATGGCTTTCTGAGCTCTGACTATCAATTTGCTATGACACAAATGACTGAGGAAGAATATCTACCTGGAAACACTGCCACAGGTTCCTTTATTTCAGAGCACAATGGAAGAGCAGAGAAAAAGATTTCCAGGGAAGGAACAAAACCTGGTTGTTATCCAAGCCAATGATCAAAGGCCAAAGTCAGCTTTATAGGCAATGATTTTTTTTCAGTAATGTATTTCAGGGGTTACATAAAAAATATAGTTAACATTATATAGCATTATCAAGCACAAGTATAAGAAAGACCAGACTAGGGACTGCATATCCCATGCCGACGCAAACTGCCCCCTTTTTTAATCCAGCTGTGCTCTAAAAAGGGCAGGATTTCCATGGAAATGTCTTTGTGATGACCTTACTAACTCTTGTAATGCACATACCTATAGGGCATGCATCATGATAAAGCCAGTATTTTCCTAACTTTCCAAAAAAATCTAAAGTTGTTTTTAGAAAACATTGTTACTATTCCATATTACAACTCTTGGCCACTGGTCCTTCTGACATTAAAGATAACAGCCATTTCATTGGGAGAAATGCATTATTTCCTTTCCTTCAACATCTAAACCACTTACTTGAGGTCTTGCAAAGTTCATCTCAGAATTTTTTACACAAGGTTTATTGATCTCTGACTATATTAAGCTAGAAGTCTATTTTGCTTAGGAACCCTTTATGGTCAACAAATGTGGCTTATAGGCACTTAAGAAAGATCTGAATTGTCCAGTGGAGGAACCTGTCTAGACTCTACAGGCAATGGGGGTAACTTTGTTCTGTAGTTGGATGAGAATAGTCTACTCTGAAGTCCAATATATGGGGTAGTGGAAATGTCTGTATGTTGTTAAAAGTACGCATACATACTTTTCATGATGGATCTCCAAACTGAAATATGTTAGATGATGTCAGAATAGATTTGTAAATTTAGAGTAGCTTTTTCATTACGTATATATTTGTTATACATTCACTTAAAAGACGCATGTGACAAATTTCAAAACAAGTTTTCATCTTCTTTTTTTTTTGTTTCTACCCTGTGTTTATGCTTCCCAATCTGAAGCAGCACGGCTTTCGTAATGGTTACTTTTGACGCAGTCCTTCCGCTGGGATTGTGAAATTGCAGAACTCAATTGCATTGACAACACGTTATGAGTTTTCTGTCTGTATGATATTACTTGATCTTAATTAAGTATTTTTTTTTAAAAATGAAGTTTCTAAATTTCTAGGTAACTAAGAAGTTACTATTAAAACACAGGAAAAGAAAGTAATTGCATGCCTCATATTAAGATTTACACTGTTTATTGGACAGATCAGTAAAACATTCTTAGCTTAACTAGGAAGCGGAAAATATATTTTCTTGTCTAGAGGGAAGATCCCCACCCTGACACCATAATTATTGTTAAAAATTAATAATTTTTGTAATGTTGTCTGACTTACCCCTGACCATAAGCTTAATTTCCTGGGCAAATTTCCTGTTTTGAAAAATGCTTGCTCCTCTGAAATACTGAAGATACTTTTATCTGCATGACCTCTCTGTCTCGAAAGTATCAGGTGAAAATCTGCCGGTCGTTTCACAGATATATTCAAAAAATATTGCTTGTGAATTAGGTGTACAGTTGCGTGTCTGATTTCCCGTCTAACTCTGCAATTCATAATTGCGAAAATCGAGTCCTACCGTCCTGTGAAGTAGCCTTGCTGTGAGCGCACGGCTAGGAGGAACTACGCATTCCTAGCAGTCGTTGCTCGGGGCTGGGACACTGACGTAAATAAGTGCACGCTTTGCTACTTCTTCGTGCCCAACTGCAGAAAGTCAACAGTTGGTGGGTTGGAGCCGTGGCATCAGCCTTCTGGCTGGTGGCCACAGCAGCAGAGCTGTCGAGAGCAGCGTATGGTGCTCGCATGTTGGCGTGTTCCAGCAGCAGATTATGAACATCTTTCTGTTCCTACACAACCAAGAGGAAGCAGGGCAGGAATTGTAATTCACAGGTGTGTCTCTGAGTCACAACATCTCTTGGGGCTACTTTCCTAGCTGTGCAGCTTTCACAGCAGTTTACGCTCAGATCTGTGTCTGGTCTGAGAAAGTGTTGGTAGGAGTGCCTCAGATTGGTTCTTTTAAGTACGATTTCACTTCATTCTGCAGTGTGTTCCCTTTCCTTTGGTTCTGTTTCATTTCATCTTGAATGCATTTCTGTGGCTTAGCAGTTAAAGCTTTGCCCATGTAAAATAAGTGGCTATAAAACATTGGAAAAGGTCACTCGGAATACAGCCAGTGGTAGACTTCTCTTGGCATTTTACTGATGAAAACGCAACATTATTTTTCTCTTTGCTGCCACTTGGCAGTATCTCATGGCTCTAAGTCATTTGTCATTTGTAAAATGGCACTCTTTGTACAGATACCCTATTATGAATCGTAAGAAAATTGTTTTACCCATACAAAATTGCATTAGACTACATCTATACTTCACTAAGAATAATCATTGCTCTTGTCCACAAATAGGATGCTCCTGAATACTTTACAGGGGATTTTCACTGTACTTTAAGGAGTGTTTTGAGGAGGTGGCAATACAGAGGACAAACAGAAACAAGAAGGACGCATATTTCAGCAATTAAAACATTCTACTTTTTTCCTTTTACTTTCTCAATGTTTTCAAGCTTTTGCTGCAAAGCATATAATTAACCACTTGCAATACTATGATAGAGAAACTTGTGACTCATGCGTCAAAATGCTCGAATTTCACAATACATCAGTTGCAAGAGATAAAGGGCATGTTTTTCCAATCCAATGCGACAGCTGTGTGTCCGTTCTGCCCCTGATTTAAGCTGGCTGAATGCAAGTAATATTTTGACGTTACGCTAAACCCAAGTTAATGCACCCTTTCTCTCAGTAGGCCGCGTTCACTCGTGTGCAGCCCCATTATAATCCAGCCATATGGCTCCCAAACTGGAGCTGGCTCAAATCCAGTTAGCTTGGAGCACAGGTGTGACTGTCTGCACCTGAGAGATATGCATTAGTTCAGGGAAATCTCCGATGTGTGGCTGAACAGTTGTGATTTTAGGGAAGAGAGGCAGGGAGTGTCTTGCACATACACCAGGTAGTTGTAGCTAAAAGTCTTCAACAGAATCATCCAACAGAAATTTGATCCAAGTTCTGAATTTGAGTTCAATGAAGAACAAAATACTTTAATTTTGAAGTGTTTTTTTAAAGAGTCATCTCTGGTTTAATATATACACATGTACAATATACAATAGATACTATAAACAAGTGTACAATGTACTTGCTACCCAGTCCTTGATTCCTATAGCAACTAGGTGTGGTAGGCTGGAGGTTCACTGCCTGATTGACATAAATTAAATTAGTCCAGGTGTCACTGGATTCTGTACAGTGTACATTTAGAACACCTGTAATTATTCACATTGCAATTTTAATAGTAGTTTGTTACTATCAACCCCTTACAGCAATTCAAAAGAAGTCTCAGGGAGGGGCTTTACTGAAAATACTTTAATTACAGAGTTGAGTTATTTTCCCACATCACATAAGCAAAAGATACTGTATGGTTATTGCACCCTCATCCCTACTTCCTCTGCTTTATTACTTTCCATAAAATACTCAGGAAACATAAATCCTTACAATTTATTTTTCTGCTTCATTTCTGCAGAAGCATTACACTCTTGCACTTAAGTAAATTAAGTAGATCATTGAAGAAATAGATCAAAGCTGGGCCATGTTACAGTTTTCCTACTACTGTTCTTTTAAAGATCCCATTTCAGCACAGGACTAAAGCAGATTTTTGAAGGTATTCTGGTATCTGAAAATGCTGGTGGGCACTTCATGGGGATTTCCAAAAGCACATGGTCATGAAATGTACTTAATTTCCTTTGTGTTAAAATAAAATGATACTTAAATTATATCATGGCTTTTCAAAAACTGTTGTGGACCATGTAGCTGTTTATCCTTAGATGCACATGTATACATGCTTAAGGACTTTGCTGAACCAAATCAACGTGAGCAGGCAACTCTGTGGCTATCTTCAATCATTTTGGTCCCCAGCAGAATCTATATGATGATCTACTTCCTCTTTTCTTACATCCCTGTTAAATGAGATATCTGAGGAGACCTGAGCCAAGGGAAAGATTTTGCAATCTCTTTTGGGTAGTTATCGTTCTTCTTTCCCCGCCTTTTCCATTTTGTAGCTCTCTGTCTGCAACAGATCCAAAAGGCCTCATTTGAAGAAAGTTATGAAAAACAGAGATGGGCTTAGATAATGTAACTAATTACAGAAACCCAGAAAGTTTACTTTTGTATATAACGATTGCGACTATTTCTTGGCATAATCTCTGTTCTGGAGAGTCTTGTTTTTATGAGGAACTGAAAGATTTGGCTGCTGCTGTGGTGTATTTGAGCCATCAGAGCAGCTCACAGCAGAGTACAAAGATTAAATGTTTCTAAACGAAAGCTACAGGCGAACAGTTCATAGCATCAGCTGTGAGGAAGGTGCTTTCTGTGTCTAGTATGTCTTGTCCCCTAAATCAGCTAAAACGTACCGCTGGGAATGTGACAGAAGATTTCCGTTGAAGTGTACGACCCAAAGTGCAATTGAACTGACCCAGAATTCATTTTCCTGGCATATACAGGTATGCCAAATGTGCAGATAGTCTTTTTGGTATTGTAATACGGAATCATCTGTCTTCACCTGCTGCAAAACATTTAGTTCAAACTAGCTGTTTAGGCTCCCTGAGTGTCTAGTGGGTCCCTTCTTTCGTTATCAGATGGTCAGCTAAAAACTATGGGACACATTGCTCTCCAGTATTGCCTGATTTCTCAGCTGATGGAGGCTAGACACCAAGCTTCAAATAAAGCCCACCCCAGATGTGCACTTGTTAGCTTTTTCCCTGTTCTGATCAGCCTCAAGTAATTTTCTGTATTTCTAGTAAATGGAGAGTTACTTGGAACGTATTAGAAAAGCAATGAACACTCAAGACAGATAAAGCCAATACAAGAGGGAAATCCTCACCTGCTCAGTCATTTTTCACCGTAAACACTGGGGTGGTGAAGTTAGAAACAAAATGAGTGGAGTTTGTAGGGCTTGAGAAGTCAGGACTAACCCTTTACGCGTGTATCCTTGCCCAGCCAGGGAGTGACTGGGATGCTACTGCCTAGTTTTTAGGACAGACACCTTGGAGACTCCCTTGTGAAAAGGTTCTTCTTGACTAAGTTTTGCATGGTGGAAAAGAAAAACAATTAAGAGAAAAGTCTTATGTTGCATCTGTGGGAATTATTTTTAAAAAGTGATTAATTTCTAATTGTTGTTTTCTTTTCACAGCTGCTTGCAGAGGACTGGCCCTTTGGTGTCGAAATGTGCAAATTAGTACCCTTCATTCAAAAGGCGTCAGTGGGCATCACAGTGTTGAGTTTGTGTGCCCTCAGTATAGATAGGTGAGACCCATTTTTTCATCAAACTCTATAATTTCTTTTAAATATGGGCATTGGCTCAAATTTACCTTTCCACTTAGCTGATATAATATGAATAAGCTGAGTTTAAGCCAGTTAAACTGGGTGGGTTTTCTTATATTTTTAATTTGCAAATGTGTGCTATTGCTTCAGGTACCGAGCAGTTGCTTCTTGGAGTCGCATTAAAGGAATTGGAGTGCCAAAGTGGACTGCTGTTGAAATTGTGCTGATCTGGGTTATATCAGTGATACTGGCTGTTCCAGAAGCTATAGCATTTGACATGATTACGATGGAGTACAGAGGAAAGGATCTTAGAATCTGCCTGCTTCACCCCACACAGAAAACATCCTTTATGATGGTAAGACACTGATGTTTGTAAAATCACGGCTCTCCGGAACAGTTCCTTGGATCGTCTCAGTATTGTGTGGATTCTAATGTGCACAAGTATATGTGAAATATAGGTGAATATAATGTTCAAATGAAATGCTGACAAATTCCTGAAGTGTATTGTTAAAAGAAGAGCATTCAGAAACTTTTTTCTTTCTGTGGGCTTTGGACATATTACTATCTTGTCCCGTTTTCTCATCTGTAATGTACACCTTATAGAGATGCTTTTCAGGACAGACTGACCAATTAGTTATAGCGTAGTTTCCAAAATGCTCAACATCCAACTCCTAACGATGTTTTTGCTTTTGTTTTCCTTCTAGTTTTACAAGCAAGCAAAAGACTGGTGGCTGTTTAGCTTTTACTTCTGTTTGCCACTGGCTATCACAGCATTTTTCTATACTCTCATGACCTGTGAGATGTTACGAAAGAAAAGTGGGATGCAGATTGCTTTAAATGACCACTTAAAACAGGTAAAAATTTATCCCTGACAACTCTGCTGACTGTAGAGAAGATGACAATAATACCTTTACTGACTTTACTGCCACATCATTATTCTGTTTTTGTATAATGACTTCAAGATTACTACTAAAGAGAAGTTTCCTAACGGCGGTGCTGCTGAACTCATATAGATATATAGATATAGATATAGATATCAGATCTTTCAGAAACCTAAGATTTTCACTGACAATCACAAAACTTCTTTTATTCTTACTTGTGTTAATCCTTCAGGTTTTATAGTTTTTCTTTCTTCTATACAAGAATGAGAGCTGGATGCTTTGTAATGAAAACTGAGGTCATGCTGTAATGTGGAAGCTGGTGCTGTAAATTTGTTAATTATTTTGAATCAATTTCATGCTGAACTATAATGAGGTTAGCAGTATATGTTAGCAGAACAAAACACATTCCAAAATACATTCCAAGTTAGTAGTGCACCAGAAACAAACATCATACGTCACTAGAATTAAACTACATTTGTACTATAAAGTATATTTGTGCTCCTTTCCTCTTACCTCGATAAAGCTGTAATTGAAATCTCTAGGGGCATTTAAAATAAGACCTGAGATCAAAGCACAAGAAAATACAATTGAAAACAAGCTGGTATTTGAAAGTGACTGGGGAGATGAATATGTTTTTCATTTTAATTTAAATGACTGTTTTTATGTCCTTGATTTTTTCATTTTATTACTCATACTTTTTAAAATTAGAGATACAGAGAATCAGTGCAAGAAATCTAAAACAATAGAAAAGATTAAGTACATATTCCAGGAAAATGAGGTATTCTGATGTTCTCCTAACTCCTATTTTGATAGGGGTTTTATTTTGTTTATTAAACATTTGGATGTTAGACGACAACAACAATCAAGAGACAGACAGAAACTATAACACTGTTCTGTCCAATTTTCTTTTTCAGAGACGTGAGGTGGCCAAAACTGTGTTCTGTCTGGTACTTGTTTTTGCCTTGTGTTGGCTCCCACTTCACTTAAGCAGAATATTGAAGCTCACTATTTATGATCAGAAGGACCCCAACAGATGTGAACTTTTAAGGTGAGACTGTAAAGATAAAATGCCTGTGCGCTGCTGACATTCTCCATAAGCATATTTGGATTTCCTGATGAACTACCTTACTCTGTGTGTCTGAAGTTCTCCCTGCTTCTTCATCCAGGACACTCTGGTTTCACTCGAGTAGCAGAGTCAGGAAATTATGAGGAATCCCACGAACACAGAGCTTCTGTCCTGTTTGCCTGTCTTCTCCTGATCCCTTTTGGGACTGTCCTACTGTCTTGTGGCATTATAAGGGCCGAGGGGGAGTTTCTGTCCCTGTTTTCCCTTTCAACAGAACAGCTAGGATTAAATCTGTGAAGAAAACCTCGTGAATGTTTCCTACCAGAAGTTGAAGTGGTTGGATCTTCTGAAATTACTTTCATGAGAACGGTCTACTGATTCAAAATGTATTATTGAGCACAATTGTTACCTCCATGAGTTAATCCTGTTGATATAAGCCCCTTTACTATTACATTTAATAGTTAGTGTTGGTTGAGTGAAGCTGAGTCCAATTTTCATAGTTGTAAACCTCTACTAAACCTTTTCAGAGAAAATGAGAAGTGTCTCACTTACTTACTTTAATTTCCACACAGCTTTTTCCTTGTGATGGACTACATTGGTATTAACATGGCTTCACTGAATTCCTGCATCAATCCGATAGCTCTGTATTTGGTGAGCAAGAGATTCCAAAACTGCTTTAAGGTAAGAGGCTGCTGGGAGCTGCTCCTCTGGTTAAAAGATGATGTCAGCAGTAAAATTAATTCCTTAACATGCACAAAGTGTTTTGAATGGTCATTACATTTTATTTTAAATTTTAACTGGGTTATGGTAGGTGTTCTCTCCCTCTCCTGCCGAAGCTACATAGAAAGGAATTAAGGATTCATAGGGACAAAAAGAGAAAGCAAAAGAGAGGAATGTACAATAAAGCCTCTCGGCACCATGCTAGTCAGTGCTACATCACTTCCTCACTGGAGCTGGCACCCCGCCACTTCGAGAGCACTGACAAAGCAGACTCGGACCGCGCTGCAGAGATTCACGTAGCCATATCCTCTGCAAGCCAACGGGGAGGGCGCTGACCCCGGGTTCCCGCCATCCTGACCCAGCCCTTAAATCGGTAGGCGGTCACGAAGGGCAGAGGGTGCAAGCATCCACTCGTCCCTTTCCAATGCCAACATTTTATGAGCCAGACCTGTTTGTAGTTTTGCCTTGGTTTGGGTGAATAGTCCTGGGCACTAATTCTCCACGCAGGATTTGAGGCTCTGGATCGCATGTGGATTGCAGCCCATTGGTCTTTCAGCCTTCATGTCTGCTTGGAAAATGTCCAGATTTGGGCTTTTTTGTGGCCCCTTGCTGTCTTGAGACACTGTATCAGGGTTCTTACATTGCCTACTACAAATTCTTAGATTTTTCTTTTCTTGCTAGCATTTAACCATTGGCCACTGCTAGCCTTATTGCCTGGCTATGTAAATTCCTTACTGGCTCTCTCTTTCCATCAGAAGCCAGTCAGCTCTACATATCGTAGCGTTAGGGTATTTCCCACATAATTGTGACAGCACATGTTGCAGAGGCTTCAGTGTCGGTCTCGTCTTCCCTGTCTGTGTTGCCGGCTCCCTGAAAGAGTCACTGGAGCCGAGAGCACGTAAGAGATCTCTAGCATCCTGAGCATGGAAACAAGTGGGTGTGCGGGATCCCAGATGGACTTCCAGCACCCAAAGGCCAGTCAGTACTATCGGTAAAAGGTCTGCAGTACATCTAGTAAATGTGTGAACTGTATGTAGGTTTTCACCGTTCTCCTACTTAGTTCTCTTTCCCCACCCTTGAAAAAATCAACTAAATAGCAGCATCTTGCTTAGAAAGCATAAATTACTGTGCATACATTTTTTTTCCAAGAAAGATTATCAGAGAAAGGGCAACAAGGAGTCTAATTTTATTTTCAGATGCATTTAGAATTGCAGACCAGACTCGAAGCAGTATGTGTGGCCATTATTACATACATAAAACTCAATATAACTCTTCCTGCCCTGCAGCGCTGAGGTTGCTAATGGGGCATCCCAGAAGTTAGTGGCCATTTGAGCAATGCAAAGTTTAACCTTGTTTCTTTACTTACACTGTACTCCCAAAATGGCAGCTTGCACACTGCTGTTTCCTACTGTACCACTGAAGAAGGGCAGCGTTTCAGTGCGTTTTGCCACATGTGCAAAACAAAATGATGTAAAATGTTTATTCCTTTTATTTTAACAGTCATGCTTGTGTTGCTGGTGCCAATCCAAAGATCTGTTGTCCCTGGAGGAAAGGCAGTCCTGCTTAAAGTTCAAAGCTAATGATCACGGATATGATAATTTCCGCTCCAGTAACAAGTACAGCTCTTCATAAAACAAGCATAAAAGGTATATTCTCTTACATTAATGCTGGTGCAAGTAAAAGTGGTAATTACTTTTAACGAGATGGCAATGTTTAGAAAAATCTAGTTTTGTGTTTGCACAAAAAAGGTTATAAAAATATAATTGCCTCAAAACTGTGTCACATTCAAAATCATGGACATTTATAAAATCGTCATTTATGGAACGTGAAGAAAGCGTAGAAAGAACAAGTCATTGTTAGCACTTGAATACTTCTGAATCAGCACTTCCAAATGATCCCCACTTCCTGTACATTAAACGATCATTTGTATTCGCTATAACAGTTGTAGGAACTGAAGTCACAGTAATTACTAAGTAGTATAATATAACGTTAATTGGATCAAAGCCATTATTATATATAACTCAATGTATTATCTTTTATAAAGCAGATTAACCACCATCACTATTGTGGTTTTTTTTAAATATAACATGAAATACTTTGTAATAGAAGTTTAAATGTAAAAAAGTAGAATTTTTATCAGAGGTATTATAGAGGTAGCTAATGAAAATATTAAAGGATGCAGTCAAGTCAAAAGTGCATTTCACTCTGATGATTGTTTTTACCTATTATTGTTAGAAGGAATCTCCCAAGGCCTCTATAAATACGATTTTGTCACTACTTTGTGTGTTCAGTGCATTTGGCAACACTTTGGGTATGGTCCATTTCACCGTTTCCACGTTATTCGTGTTTAATGACAGTGGAGGAGAGAAAAACACACCAAAAGCAAAAATTAATACTACTAGAACCATACAAATGATGGCTAGTATTGGAAACCAGCTATTTTTAACTGAAAACAAATTGATTGTATGCCATGTAGTGGGCATTCAAGAGCCTGACGGTTCTTTACTCGAGATACTTCTGCGACAATTTACAACTGGTTTTGCAATCCAAATACTGTCTTGGGGCAAAATCCTTTAGAAATAGCAGGTGGAAAAATGTAACCAAGTAAAACAGAGGGAGCATTTGAACTTCTATTTTCATTTAGACTTAAATCTTCACAATTTAATAATTCATGAACTCTACTGCTAGAGAACAGTACTGTGTAGCATACTTGTCTTCATACTGTTTTAAAATATGTTCTACTTCTGTAGTTCCATATTTATGGGCTTAAGAAGATGTGTGATTAGTTTCTGCTTCTGTAAATAGTTTAATGAAGCGTAATTAATTATAAAGTATTAAAATATGGGCAGGACCCTGTGAGAGAACAAAGATGAAGATGCCTGTAGTAAACATGATGTGCATTGCCGGGAGCAATGCACGTTTTGTACATACATGACAGGTCATTCTTTGGCTTTTCATTTCCTATTAATTTGTTACAGATGTCCCCAAAGACTTATTAACATATTTCGTGCACTAAGGCATGAATTTTTCAAGAAAAAATGCTATATGACATACATTTGTAAAAGACATGTTTTCAATAGGCATGGTATTTTATTATAATAAAAATATTTATCAAAACTCAGGAATTTTTTTTTTTTTTTGTTTCCAAATTCACATGTAAGGATTTTTACCTTTTTTCCCAGTCTTGATTAACTTCAGATTTTTTAATAAACTGCCTTAAATATGCTCAGGATGAAAAAAGTTTTCATTAAAATGTTCAGCTGATGTTGACTTAGATGGGTTTCATCTCATCTGACTTTAGGTAGCTACAGCTACCTTGTAGACAGCTAAAAACAAGAGAGGTGGACCCCATTCCTGGTATTGCCCCGTCAAAAGCTAGTAAAAGTATGCTTGTATAATCAAGCTGAGGACCTATGCACATGCATTTGAGCATGGGCACGTGTGTGTTTGCGTGTGTGAGTATGTGTGCAAGCGTGTATGTTGTCTACCATTAGGTTGCTGTTACCATCTTTCTGCAGCACATGCACCCAATGCTATAATGCTGAACTTTTATAAATGTAAATCTATTTAAAGTTTTGTTCTTCACATTTTTACTTTAACTTTCATGGTAACTTTCTCACGGTAAGCCATGAATATCACTTCACTTCACCCTGCCTGCACCTATTTCTGTGAAACGCGTTTCATCTGTTAAGGATGGATAGTCAGTTAAATCCTAAGTTTGATACTGATCAGTGTTATTTTCATCAAGTTATATCATTACAATATTGTACATGTATATTATTGTTATTTTTATTTAAAATATAGCTGTTGTATTGGCAAACGTGTAACATATTTTTCATTTTTTCCTTGACTAATTCTTTGTTAAGACGAGTCCTGCTAAGTCAGACATTAAGGTTTTGCAAATAAAAACCGTATATACTGCCCACTTTTTGGAGTTAATATATATGTATTAGTACCCTTTTTTTCTTTTTTGCAGTATTTTTCAAAGCAGTATTTTTAATGAAGCTCTCATTTCCTGTAATAAAAATTTTCCAAACTTTTGCTCTCATACAGTTAAAAGAATACCCAGGAGAGCTCCAGTGCATGTGTGTTCTAGCTAAAGTTAAGTCTCTTAATACTGAAGACGGGCATTTTCTAAAGTCCTCAATACAGGTCTATTCCTCCATCCACCGAAATCAATGAATGTTTAACCATTCAATTCAGTTGGAGCAGAATTAGGGCACAGCAATAGCTCTTTGTAAAACCTAGCTGACATTTGCTACCTTGAATAAAAAAAGCTAAATACTTTTTTTTTTTTGACAGAGGATTTGTTTAGAAAAGTCAGGAAAAGAGGGTAGAATCAGCTCGTGGGGTAAAACAGCCAGTCTAAAGCTCTCTAAGCCTCAAACAGGGGGTCACAGGTAGCAGAACAACTGCAGAGAGGCACATGCATCTTCATAGGAGTTCAATGTGCTTGCCCAGAGTGGTGTGACAGAGTAAGAGTCATCTGTCCCAATGGCCTGAAGAGTTGACACAGAATGGCTTGAGATGAAAAAAAAAAAACTTGTAAGAAACTACATCACATCTCTGTGTTTTGGCCTTCAGGTAGTAGCTAGATGTTACTTCCCCAGCTGCTCTGAATTCTGCCTGCAGACAGCTCTCTCGGAGTTAAGAGAGGGCGTTTCAGACTGGGTAGACTAAACGGATACACTGGTACTACACCTTAGAGGATCAAATGCAAAATTTGATGGTTATGGAGCATCTGCTGTGAGCTGTGGCATTTCGCTGTCCAAACCAGCTCTTAATCAACACACGGCTGGCTTAGCAAGTGAATGTTGTATGTACTGAGATAATGGTAAAAGGATTTTTTTTAATTGTTCTGTATAGCTGTGTAACATAATTCTATATTTCATTTTCTGTGGTCACTTAAAAGAGCAACTTCTGTGGTTCAGACAGTGTAAACATACTAAATTACCAATAAAATATTTGTAATTTTGATTCATTACAAAAAGATGTCTGAGCTTTTTTCTTCTAGGGGGTCCAATTTAATTGTTAAACAGTGACAGTAATGTAAAAATCAAATAAGCAATTCAGATCTCAAAATCAAAGTTTTTGAGTGGGATAGTTTTATATAGCTGAAAACTGGAGAGAGTTCAGACTTGCATATGCATTGCAAAATTGTCTGATGTTTGTTGGAACAATTAGTCATGCCTATCTTTGCTCTGTTTGTTTTTGCTCAAAATGTCAGTTGCAATCTCTTCTCTACACATCCATATATAGTCACAAATCCTCCTGTGTTAGGGACATCACAAATAAAAGGCATGAAACTTTTAGTTCATTAATTTAGAAGTGCATGCACTCGATGCTGGAATATGCCTTATGAAAACCGTCATCCCTTTATATGCTGACAGTGTAATTTTGTGCATATTTCAGTTTACCTTTCTTAAAGCAGTGAAGAACAGTATGAGCCTAAATGTGCTGTAGTTGGTCAAATATATAACTTTATATGCTTGCCGTATCTATATATCCCAAAACGTGTTTTGTTCCAAATGGTTAGGTTACCTTCTGTTTAATTGGTGGCCTGCTGCGTCCATGTAGGTTTGTCTTTTTTCATGGTCCCAGGACGTTTAGCACATAGTTTCAAGTTTCCTGTGCCTGGAACAGAAGCACCTGTAGAGATGAGGTCCCTTGTAAGTAAATGTTCTACTTAATATCTCTCATGGCCTCTTCACTACCTTTCCCATCATCTTATGCTATAGTCTAAAGTCTTCACCAACCACTCCTTACAAAGAAGCATTTTTTGTGTATTTCTTTTGAGATCCTACAGCTTTCTACAGGTAGGCCATAGTCTCCACAGCCCAGCTAATTTATTCCCTTGCCACAATTCACTTTTCTAACTCTTGGTCTCATCCACAGTTTTACCTACCGCAGTCTTGGCTCTTTCATTTAGGGGATTAACTGCAGCTTGTTGGCAGTTTTCTAAACACACTAGAACTTACATAGCAACGTGGGTATAACACTGACTCACTCTAACCACTCTTGAGAAGGGTAGATTTGGCACTCTGGTGTTGGTGGAGCAGGATGGTCCAACTGGCAACCTGTGGCTGGGTCTGGTCCATAGAGTGGTTCACTTTTTACTGTACCTTCCTACAGCCTGCTGCTCAGACCGTCATGTTCTTGTAGTCTGCTCACGAAGTCCCAAGAGTTCTCAATGTATGCTGTGCACTTCTGTTCAAATTTCTAAGTTGCTGAACGGGTGTCCTCATCAGGAGATCAAAAGAGAAAAAGGACTCAAAATGAGTCTTCTGAGTTCTGCTGGTTGCCTTTCTTCTCCGTCAGCAGTGGTAAGATTACTGTATTACATAGCACCAGCAGTCAGATGGTTTATTGGCTTGCAATTGCTAATTTAAAAGTACTGTCATTAAAACCCTGGCATCCATTTGGTCTTGTCAGTCTTTCTAAGTACTCTCATTTAGCTGTGAAGGAGGTCCCAAAGCTCACCTTCACCACTGAAGAGGCACATCCCCCTCAGTCCTCTTTCCTTCTCTTGAACAAGAAAACCATCACATAGAAAGAAAATTCTACTATAAAATCTTCAGAAATTGATATTTTACCTTAGTAATCAGTATCTTAAACCTCCATGAAATCTCTGTAACAAGCCAAAGATGTCCTGATTGTGGGAGGTAGTATCTGGAAGGAATTTTACTGTAGTGGTGTGGTAACTAGATAGATCATACAGCTCAGCAGGGAGCAATATACATTATGGGATGTGAGGCAACATCAAAATTTCAGAACAGTAACATGGAAAATACCACATTAAAACTTAGATGGTGCCTGTCAGTGGATATCTACAATTATAACTTCAGGTTGCCGTGGAACTTCCCGTCCCCTGTAGCCACCCTAGAAGAGTGCGCTGGAAAAAGTGGGAGTCAAAACTTGAAACCAAGTAAAAGCTGAAAGGAAACACTGGTAAGGAATTAAGGTAACCAGACCTTCTTCACAAACTACATTTTCCAAAACTTGCTTCTACTTGGTTTTTTTGCTGTTGCGGGAGAGGGATGAGGGGGAGTGCCCTTTTACCTTTTCATGATGTTCGTTTCCCAAAGTTTCTATTAGTGACTCACAAGTCACTGAAGAAACAGATCAATGGTGAAACTGAGGGAGTCAGGCAATGGGTCTCATTTGAAGGTACCAAGGAAAAGAATAA